TATGGAGGGTTTTGATCGGTGAATGATTCTAACCAACGAGGAGTTGTGTGAAGTGTCACCATGTGAAATGAGTTTTGATCCGTGAAGGATTCTAACCAATGAGAAGTTGTGTGAAGTTAACTGTATGAAATATCGTGAAGTGGAGCCGTTGAGACGTCATAATCTGAGGGGTGTTACACCTTCAAATAAACAAAATTTCTCATTTCTCCTCCTTTCATTTTATCCAAAAATTAACAAAAAGTGTTAGAGAAAGATAAAAAATGAAACTATAAAACAAATAAAATAATTCAATTGAATAACAATGAAAGTGGTACTGATACATAACAAAGGTTAATCAAGTAAAACGAAAAGTATGATGATTCGTAATTCTACCTTTCGATTGTTTTGAACATTAATATGCAATAAAGTCAAAATAGAATAAAAAATATGAGAAATAAAATTTTAAAATTAAATAAAATAAAATTGTGAATAATATTAAATAATTAAATATTAATGTAGGTATAATTTTGTCACACAAGATATTATATTAGGAGAAAAGATAGAAGCACTAGTTATTCAATATTTTTAGGATCAATATCCACATAGAAACAAGGTATTAATTAAATTTAAATTATTAATATATACAAGGACCTTTGTTGAATTTAGATTAAATGGAGTACTCAAAGGATACATAGGAAATAATTAAGGCTAATATAGAGTTAATTAATTTTTTAATAATACGTATCTCATTCTTCTAAGAATATATAATTTAAATTTTCATAGTAAAAATATATTTTTTTTACAAATATATACATATTATTATCTTAAAAAATGTAATACGGTAAGTTGTATAGTGTTGTTATACATTTTATTTAATTATATGTTGTGAAGGTTGTCATCTAGTGTTGAAAGATTTTATTAGGGATTGGGAGTCCCTTAGGAGTTTCGGTGGTATTGAAGGTTCTCTAGACAGAAGGTCAGTTTAACTCTAAGGGGAAGAGTATATAAGGTCTCTGTTTTGAATAGAGTCTCACAAATTAATTTCCTAAGTTTAGAGAGAATTCTAGAGAGAATGACTCTAGTCTATAAGTTTCTTTTTTCTATAAATTTTCTCTTCTTCCTTTTTTGATTCTCATTGTGTTGTCTTATTGGTGAATTCAGGTGCTTAAGACATCTCCAATAGAAGCAACTCATTTGAGTTACTTCATGCATTGAAAAATAAAAAAAGTGGTCCCCAATATGCCATGTTAGCATTAAGTAACTCAAACACAAATTTATTCCAATCTTAAGAAACTTTAAGAAATTCAATTTTTAAATTTTTTTTCTAATCATTTATGAACCAAAATTAATTTTTATTAAAAAGGATAATTGCACTACAATGAAAGAAAATAAATTACGAGAAAAAATACACAATAAGTAGATATTAAAAATAAAATAAAACAATAGTAAATACATAAACATTATATGAAATTAATTTTCATCATTATTATTTCCGAAATGTTTCCAAATATGTTCAATAAGATTTGTTTGAAATCTGGTAAGGAATGTTTGTTTGAGGAAGCAACTCTCTCTCTTTTTCAAGCAACTCATGTTGCCACGTCAGAGTCCTCCAATGCTAAGAAATCGGGGCTTCAGTTGCTTCATGGGACAAGCAACTCCCATTGGAGTTGCTCTTAGGAACCTTGAATCAAGTTAATTGTAGACCCGTTTGGAGTTGTGTTGCGGATCGTTCAAAGTTTTCTTCTTCTCCTTCCCCGATTCTCTTCGGTTCCAAGGTAAAGGAAGATAGAATAATCACAATTTGGATGAGTTGTTGTTAAGGGATGATTTTTGTGTTGTATGTGGTGTGAAATTTTGAAGAGTTGTATTTGGGTTGGTGAATCCAAAGCTAAAAGTATGGTGGAAGCTTGGGTTTCCAGGTTCATGAGGGAGAGTGGGATGAATTGTTATAGATTATTATTGCATGTTGTTTTTTGAGCTAGATTTGAGTTGTTTATGTTGAGTAGGATCATCATTTCTTGTTTCATGCATTGGATTTTTGTTGAGTTTTAGGTTTTGGGTCAAAATCTGATTCTACATATGCAGAATTATGATATCGTGCCAACATAAGGCTCTCTATCTCAATTATGTCAAGCGTAGGATCGGTGGCGTCAAACGTAAGGAAAAAGACTCATCCCTAATTAGAATAGTGTTGGGCATGAGAACATCGAGAGGTTTTTGACTTAGTGATGATAGATCAAAGGTTTAGTGGCGTCCAACATGACCAAGTTAGAGCTCTCTATCTAAATGATGTCGGACGCCAATATATAATGTTGGACGTGAGTCAAGTAGAGACTTTCTGACTGGATGGCACCAACCTTGGGTGAGTGACATGTTTCTTTAAAATTTATATAAAAAAAATATTTTTAGAAAGTCATGCTTCTTTAAAATTGCTAATTTTTAAATAGTAAACTAAACGTGAAAAGTTATCATTTTCACTCTAGAGAAGACAAAAAGTTTTCAATTACTTGATATAAAAATAAAAATAAAAATATTTGATGCTATTTAAGACACATAAAACATTGAATGATAAAATGACAAGAAACAAGAACACGACAAGAGTGATCTGATAGGGAATCGGAATCCCAGGTTTTTGGAGGTGGACAAATACTAAAATTCAAAGGTGGAGCTTCCTTGGAACTCAACTACAATGTCATGTCACAAGAAGCATGGGTTAAGAATTGGAAAGGATGAGTTTTCTTGTTAAAGAAGAACTACCATTTTGGACATTACAGATTTCTTGTTTGGATACAACGTGCATGAAGCTCTCAATTAAGCAAAACATATGGATAAAAGAGAAATGGTGAAGCACGTATTTCAACTGTTTGCTTGTCATCAGTTGTCATTTTATGTTGTGAGTTGGGAAAGGAAAGGAAAATGGCAACATATACTTTTCTCTTTATGCTTCAGTATTCAGTCATCTCGTGGGAATCCTGCAGGTACTGCTCAATTTGTTTGGTACCGTCGCAATGGATTTCGGACTTATCTAGGTTTTTTTTTTCTTTCTGATTCATATTTTCTAGGTTATATAATTTGGCAAAAAAAAAAAGGATAATTTATTTTATACAAAAGATTTTTTTTGTTAAAATTCTCTTTTTAACAACAAAAATTTAGAGGATTTATTTGATAACGGATGAAATTTTAATTAATTAATATGATGTTTCAAGATGTAAACGATATAATTTTAATTTGGACAAAATTTAGGTGAACATCATGAGATATTTTGATATTGTTTTCTAATGAAACAAAACTTAAATGTGTTTTTTTATTTTATTTTTAGTGTTTGAGAAATGCTAACAACATATTTTTATGTTTTTTTAACGCATTCTTCATTTGTTATTTATGAAAATCATTAATTTTATAATTTTCTATCTTTTTTATAGATAAAAAAGAATATCTTAGAAAGA